ACTGGAAAGGTCACCCATAGGTAGCATGCTTATCTGGGCCACACCATTACCCCATGATACTGAAACTCCCTGGTTCTGCTGTCCTGGTAGCCCCATGCTCAGTCTTAGCCATATTGAGACTGAGCTGTAATTTCTAAGTGGAGATGTCTGGTGGGCAGATGGAGGTGCCAGACTAGAGCTTGAGAGTAGGGAGGAGGTAAGAGCTGCAGATGGATTTAGAGTAAGTACTCTGCACTGCACGTTTTATTGCTTCTCATTCTAGTGAGTGTGTGCACGTGTGTTTTTGTGTATTTAACTATTCTTTAAGGTGCCTGTGAATATGCAATGCGATTATGATCAGAGGGAGAGGAAGGATGTTCCTTTTTTGGTGATGGATTGACAGAAAAATTACGAGAGAAGCTTCAGGATTTAATCTGCTGACCGGGTTGCCACAATACCAAATTATGTTCAAAGCAGGTTTGAGGTAGCATAAGGGGGCAGGACAAACTAGAAAACAGGTGAGGGGGTCAAACCTTACAGCTAGAGAGAAAATAACAACAGAGTGGAAGGAGCAATACTGTTTAAGCAAGACAGTGTCCTTGCTATTGCAACAGCCTGCTCCTCAGCCCTGCATTGCCCTGTATTCCACCGGTTTCCCACTTCGGAAGTAGATCTTTGTGCTTTGTTGCTTCTCACTTTTGTATGACCCAGGGAAGAGGAGAGGATGCTGTTTACTTTGTTATGGGACTAGAGGATGGAGAAAAGAGAAGAGCTGCCTCTTCTGCTTGGGGCTTCGGCGAGGGCTGACATGGGTTCTAGCTTGGGCTCCATCAGCACCCTGCAGGCTGGGAGAGGAGCTGCTACCACCACTTTCTCAGTTCTTAACCAACCCAGGGAGTAACTGGACATAGCATGTAAGGTTGAGGCTCTGAGCCTAGCATCCGACCTCAGAGGCGGATGTGAAGGTTGGAGATGTGGGTTGCATCAGTGGTATTGTGAAATGCGTTAATAAGTATACGTTCCTTCTGTGAGCTGAGTCCTCTGTGTGATCCCATGAACTTTTCAGTGCTGAGCTGTGGGCAAGACTTCTCAGGTCCCATCCTACTCAAAATATAGCCTGGGGTCAGAGGGTGGCAGAAGGCAGGTAAGGATGACTCTGGACTGTGCATTTAGAGCTGCTAGATGGGCAGGTGGATGGATGGATGGGGCAGGTGGACCTCTCTGGGCACAGAGTCACAGAGACCAGAGAAGACCCACCTATACTTTGACAAGGGTCAGGTGGGTTCAGAGAAGGAATTTTGGGGGACTTGTGGATGAGTCGGGGAATGAATGGACAAGGAAGTACTTATGCCTTTTTTCCTGGGTTTACTGATGGGCCTGAATTGCAATTTAAGGTCTAATTTTAGCCATGTATTTGTAGTCCTCCGTGACTCATGGAAGGCCACTCTAGATGTGCAGATGACTTATATCCTTGAAAATGAGACCAGATCATCTCATTTCCAAGTTCCTCCCAGGTAGCAATTTAAATTTCATTTCCATGACTCCCCATTTGATTAAGTGTGCCCACCATGAGCCCCAACATATGCTGTTTTTTTCGGTCATGGTCATCTCTTTATAGCCAGGCCTTTGAAGGGCCGTTGTAACAGTACGGAAAGAGACATGGTGACACTGAGAATGGGTTAAATCTGGTGTTGGACAGGCATATCTTCATGTTTGCTTTTTGTTTACTATCTGTAGCTTTGCTGTTCTCTTATTTATTTCCTTCCTGCTTCTCACACCTGATTCTCCGAGAGCTTCCCTACCTGCGTATACTGGCCCATCCCATGACCCCCTTGACTCTGATGGAATGCCATCTGGGCAGGGCCTGCGGTGGGCATGGCAGGGGAAGAGGGGCACAAGGAAAGGGGCCTCACTTTCGTTTCTGAACCATCTTTCCTTGGTGTTTGTTTTCAGGGACCTGACTCTTTCCAAAACAAAAACAAAAACAAAAAACTCCAGCTGTGTATTTAGACACACATATACATCTCTTCCCATTCCTGGCAGAGCTGCTGCCCGGCTGCTGCCTTCTCTGAGCCGTGGCCGCAGGAGGGATGGCATTTTTAAGCAGGATGAATTACTGTCGAGCCGCCGCTCTTCTGCACCCAGGGCCATCAATCTTGTCTTGAATGCCGGGACTGCTGGTTGGTCTGCTCAGGCTCATCTTTCTGGGGCAGACTTATTTATGGAGCCACAGCAAAGGTAATCTCACTCTCCAGCCCCACGGCCCGGGCCTCTCTTGGCCACTCTTAAAAATAGCCTAGGACGAATAGGAGAGCCAGAGTCCGGTTACTTCCTGCACTCAGGGTCTGATCTCACCTCACCTCTTGCATCTGGCAGCTCAGCCCTTCTCAGGGGCTGCTGGACAGGCTTCTGGCCCTGCAGGAGGTGGTCAGCCTGTCAGTCCCTCTCTGGCTCAGAGACCAAGTCAGTGGTAGTTTCTTAAGGGAAGTAGGGAAAGGCATGGGGCCGGGGGCAGGGGCGATCTTTCCCAGCTAGCATTGCCCAGCCAGTTGGGTGCAAAATCTCAGTCCTGGAAGCAGCAAGTCCATCTGCAGAAGAGGACAGGCTATTCAAAGGGACAAGGATGGCCTTGGGCACAGACCTGGCATCATGGGGTATCCTGTGTTTAGGGGGATGACTGGTTTTCCCACCTTGCACCTTCCCTTCTCTTGAGTGGTAAACACTTTTGTCAAGTCCTGGCTGGGAAATGCCCTCTGTCCCCATGCACTGTGTCCTTTCCCCACCTGCCCTCCTGAAACCTGTTTGGTCGAGGGGGATAAACTGCACTCCAGTCTGGCCTTTGGTCCCAGCCACAGTCATTCCCCGGAAGACCCTGGGGAGGCCTCCTCCTGCAGCAGACCTTGGTTTTTCTCCCAAGGCAATTAGGGTGGGTAATCCTGGCTCCTGTCTTACCTCAAAAGGATGTGGTGGGATGGATTCATCAGGTTGGGGAAAATGCAGTCTCAAGTGAGTCTGTATGTGAAAAATAAGGCTGTAGCCCTACTGCCATCTCACGCTTGGGCTGGTGAATGTGCTTCAGTGCCTCCGAAAGCGTGTGCCTGGTGGGTGTACATGTGTGTGCTGGTGTGTGTCAGCGTGTCGGATGTGAGCCAGTGTGTGTGCTGTGGGTGCACACACACAAAGGGAGTGGTCTCCCTTACAGCTCACTGGCTGTCAACCCCCATCACGGGTCTGCCTCACAGCCTCCCCACCTCCCGCTTTGCTCTCTTGGATGTGAAGGCTCTGGGTCCCCTGCTCTCTTACAGACTTGATCTTGGAGTCCTTTAAGATACCCAGAAAGAGGAGCGAATGGCAGGTACAGATGAAGAAAGCTAGTAGTTTTCCTAGGGCCCAGGGCATTGAAGACCGAGCCTGGCCCTGCTGGCCCTCTCCTCACTTTTCTCCCCGATCCCAGCCCTGCCTTCCCATTACTTCTTAAGGTTCCCAAAGCTTGCTGTGTTCTTTTTTTTTTTTTTTTTTTTTGAGATGGAGTCTTGCTCTGTCGCCCAGGCTGGAGTGCAGTGGTGCGATCTTGGCTCACTGCAAGCTCTGCCTCCCAGGTTCACGCCATTCTCCTGCCTCAGCCTCCCGTGTAGCTGGGACTACAGGTGCCCGCCACCGCACCCGGCTAATTTTTTGTATTTTTAGTAGAGACGGAGTTTCACCATGTTAGCCAGGATGGTCTCGATCTCCTGACCTTGTGATCCTCCCATCTCGGCCTCCCAAAGTGCTGGGATTACAGGCGTGAGCCACCGCGCCCGGCCGCTGTGTTCTTTCTTAGCTTCAGGACTTCACACCTGCTCTTTATTCACTTTGCTTGGACTCTTGTCCTTTCCCATCTGTCCTTTCATGGGTACCTCCAAGCTTCCTTTAGGAATAAGCTTCAATTTCCCCTCCCTGGCACGAGTCCCTGCCGAGTCCCCACCTAAGCCAGCCATGACATACATCACACCTTCTTGTAGTTGTTTGCTTAATTGTGTGTCTCTGCCACCAGAGTCCAAGCTCTATGGGGACATGACCTTTCCTGTCTTGCTTGCCCCTGCTTAGTACAGTGCCTGCCACCTTGTTGGAGCTTGGTACATATTTGCATTAATTGTGAATGAATGAATAAGTGAGTAGGAATGATTGATGACGGGTGAGGGAAGACCCAGTGCTCCTGATGTGCTGGTTCATCGCATGGACTCGCAATGCACGGTTCCATTGTCCGTGGGATGCCCTGACTGCCATGTGCTTGATGTGACAGCAGGCTCCTCTGGGTTGCTCAATCTGTCCTGGGATTCAACAGGAGACCTCATCTGAGCACCTGGTCATGCTCCAAAGAAGCCCTAAAATGCAAGGTCACTTTCTGAATACCAGCTGCTGGGAAGGAACTCAGAGGGCTCTCGAAAAGCCTCCAGGAGGAGCGAAGTCACCCCAGTGCAGCTGCCCTGGGCTGGCGGCATCAGTGGTGGCTTAACTCTCTCATCCATCTCTCCCCATGGTTCCCATTTGCGTCAGACTCAGCCTACTTCTAGCTTCTCCCTTCCCCTGGCCTGTCCCCATCTCCCTCACCAGGTTAGGTCCTGGCCCAGTCCGCAGGGCGAAGGTTGCTTTCCCCAGCTCATGCCCCGCAGCCTCTGGCTCCCGGGCTCCCGGGAGAGCTTCCCCTCTCCGGGGTGCTCCCCGCGGCGGCGGCGGGGCGGCGGGTCTGGAGGAAGCGGCCGGCTGCGACTGACGTCTCCACCTGCTGGCCGTCCTGACCCTTGCTACATGCAGCTCTCCATCCCCGCCACCGCCGCCGGTACTGTTGCTGCTGCTGCTGCTGCTGCAATATTTTATAACAAACGACCCAGAGACCCGGGTAGGAAGCATGCCCAGGCAGAAGACACGGCGTGCTGCTCCCGCCAGAATCTACTCACATTGGATGCTCCGAATAAGTTTCCCCTGAGAAAAAGTCCGAGCGGGTAGAGAGCTAACCCTCTGACTGTGTTGCCGTCCCCCAGGGATCCTTCCATGAAGACTGAGGCAGGCCGAGCTGCTAAGAGCCTGCTGACATGACATCGGCCGCAGAGTTTGAAAATGTGGGCAACCAGCCACCTTACAGCCGGATCAATGCCCGCTGGGACGCCCCAGACGACGAGCTGGACAATGACAACAGCTCAGCCAGGCTCTTTGAGAGGTCCCGGATCAAGGCCTTGGCAGGTACTGTTTGGGGCCACAGGGGTTGGAGGGCATTCTCCCAATCACAAGGTTCACAGCCCTCCCCAGTTAGTGTGGATCCTCCGTGTGTGTTGGGTGAGCCCTGGCATGGCAGTGATGGAGACATGTTTGCCAGGCTCAGGGAGGTGGGCGTCCCCTTGGGAGGGAGCACACGCTCTGGCAGCCTCTGCCCCCACGGGCCTCTGAGAAGCGAGGAGGTGCTGAAGCTGGGACCAGGTGGGGCCTGCCCTCTGCATCTGTCCTGAGTGACCTGCGGCCAAAGTGAGAAGTACAAGAGTCTGGGCAAAGCAGTGTCTGAGGGCTGGACAGCCAGGCGCAGGTACACAGGGCCTCCTGGTTAACCCCGATTTCCTGCCTAGGCCTGGAGAGAGGAATTGTCGTCCTCTCTGTGGTCCCAAAAGGAGTGATTGGATAGGAAATCAAGAGCAGATAACATCCTCGCCACTGCCTCAGGAAGGATTTTCTTGATGAAACCTTTCATCCTTAAGCTGGAATTAGATTTTTGCTTAGCAGGTTCATAATAGATCTTTCTCTCTCTCTCTCTCTCTCTGTGTGTGTGTGTGTGTGTGTGTGAGTGTGTGTGCATGTTTGTGTGTGTGTGTGAATCCCAAGAATCGGACCTCAGCCGGTAGAGGGAGGAGAAGCCATTCCTACTAGAGATTTAAGATATTCTCCAGCCCCACCCTCTCTCTCTCTCAGGGTGTGTGTGTGTGTGTGTGTATGAGAGAGAGAGAGAGAGAGAGAAGATGGGGGTGGAGAATATCTTAAATCTCTAATAGAAATGACTTCTCCTCTCCCTGTTGGCTGATATCTGATTCTTGGGATTTTTTTTCCCCCAACTCCTGTGAGTATTGCCTCTTTGAACTTGACCCAGGATAACTATATTCCAACCTTAAGTCCTCGGCCAGTAAGAAAGGCGGAGTTGCATGGTGTTGTGTGTGTATGTGTGGGGGCTGGGTTCCTTCCCCTGATCCGCCAGTCAGCAGCCCACATTGGACCTGTTTCCCTCTCATTGACTGTTCCTGTCTTCCACCTTCTAAGAAGACCACAACCTTCCCCAGAAACACTGTCTGAAGTGATTCTCCCACTGCCCCCATACCTTATGGCCCAAATTGAAGGTTGTAGTAATCCTCTTCCACCCTCCCTCCCTGCACTCAGCTCCCAGATACCACAGTCCCCGGCTGATCTTGAAGCCTGAGCAGGTCCTGGACCCTCTGGGACCATAATGACCTCACACCTTGGAGTGTCTGGGCTTCTCATTCTGGGAAAGGAATGCTGCAGTGTCTCATCTCCCTTATCATGACAAGGAATCCACTTGGGTCTCACTTATCACCACTGGTGTCCTTGCTCTTTATAGGAAACTCTCTTTCTTCTTCCTTCATTTCCTTCTCACCCTCCTTGACCCCACAAAATTCTCCCTTCGTTTCCCTTGGGGACAGACCATAGCAGTGATCCATTGCTTTTGTATACGTTAATTGAAGCCAACCAAACTTGGAACCATTGGCTTTGTCAGTCTGGTTTTACCTTCTTATATATCTGTGCTGGCTGGATCTAGCTGCAATGACCCTGGTGATCCAGGTGGAGGGAGAGGGTACCATATTCCGTAAAATTTGCCAAAGCAAGGTAAAAGTGGGGACTGGACTTTGTGCAGGGATCCTTTTATCTTTTTTAAGAAACCAAGGTAAATTCTCTTTTAATAGTTACTTGTTGTACTCTTACTATGTTTAAAGCTCAACCCCTGGCCAAACGTGAAAGGGGAGAGGGGAACCACAGATGAATTCGATATAGTGTCTGTCTCTTAGGAGTTCACAATCTATTAGGGAAAAATGAACTATGTTCACAATTAATTAGCATGAGAGGAATTAGAGAAGAACTGTAGGAAGAGCACATAAATTAAACAGCAATGAGAGAGCCAAGGAAGAGATGCAGGGAGAATCAGGGAACAGTTCATGGAGGAGGCAGCCTTTGAGCTGGAAACTGAAGGGTGCGTGTGATTCTGGCAGGCAGAAGGGCCCCGGGTTTCTCCGGTTGGCCTGTGTGTGTTGTCGCCAGGTCTGATGAGCTGCTTGGGAAGTTGGTGGAGATATGTTAAAGAGCCAAGCACAAAGCCGGGCGTTGGGCGTGGTAGCTCATGCCTATAATCCCAGCACTTTGGGATGCTAAGGTAAGTGTATGGCTTGAGACCAGAAGCTCAAGACCAGCCTGGCCAACATGGTGAAACTCCGTCTCTACTAAATTACAAAAAATAAAGAAATAAATAACTGGGCATGGTGGTGCATGCCTGTAATCCCAGCTGCTCAAGAAGCTGAGGCAGGAGGATCGCTTGAACCTGAGGAGGTTCAGTGAGCCAAGATCATGCCACTGCACTCCAGCCTGGTGACAGAGCAAGACTCTGTGCTTAGTGGTCAGTCCTAGGTTGATCAGGAAAGAGACTTTGCTGACATTGGCTGTGCCTAGTTGAGCCTATGCCTCACCAGGAGCATGCATCTGACTTACCAGAGAATCTGAATGCCCCCCAGGGAGAGGAAAAGCCACAGAGCGTAGAATTGTATGCCTGGGCCTTAACGATTCAGAACATCTGGCCAACAAGTAAACATGCAAGTTTGAGGTCCTTTCAAGATTTTCAAAAAACAACCAACCTAAGTGGTTACTGGCTTCCTTCTCCTGAGAGTCTACTCTAGGTGATCTGGGCTTGAGCTAAAGCTTTGGAAAGGTCTAAATAGAGTGGCAGATGTGCCCATTCTGCTGGGTAGGCAAAATGGAGAAAGGGAGCATGTCAGCCTTTCTAGTCTCAAAGTCTTGACTTTTTTTCCCTTTAGTACTGTCACTGGGGCCACCTTAACAGCCTAGGCAGGGGTCAGTCTTTCAAAAGAAACATTAGGGAGCAGGAGCTCTCAGCCACTCTCCCACTCACAGGAATATTAAGGCAAGGAGGGGATTCAGCCCTGAGTTGCTTAGAAGATAGCAGTGACCTGCTTCATAGGTATATGTGGTAAAGTAGGGGAAATTGGCCTGGCATCCTCTTCAGAAATGTAAGGTCCTGGGGTGAGGAGGAACATGTCACAAGATCCAGATTCAAGTCTTGATTCCGCCTTTAATGCCACCGCAGTGGAGGATCACTGACTTCTTTTCCATTTTTATCAAATAGGGATGATAGTATTTTCTCAAGGTTGTTGTGAAGAGCAAATAAGATAAAGTTTATGAAAGTTTTTATTAATAATAAAATGCTAGGTGAATGTTAGATAGTGTTAGTACTAAGAAAATTCCCCATAGGTGTTTTCTGTCCTTTCTCTTTTCCCAACTTCAGACATTCAAGATCATGAGCTTGGTCTTTTTCCTTGCCTGTTGTACATTGGCCTGTTCCGGGACCTGTTTCTTCCTTCTTAACCCCCACCCTCCTTTGCCTCAGAAGTCTGAGTTGGAAGAAAAAACCAGGGACCAAGGAAATCAGGCTAATGTTTGTGCTTGGAGCTCTGGGCTCTTTCCCCTTCCCCCAGACCTGATGCCCATGAGATGAAGCCCCATGCCATGCAGGTCTCTCTCTCCATAAGACTATCCAGTCCATGACCCTGGCTGTGTCTCTGCCATCTAACTGGGTGACATGGAAGGCCCAAGAAACCTAAGGATGATGGTCTTATCAAATCCTCTTCCAGATGAGACAGTTTCTCTAGGTCCATCTCCATTTAATGACCTATGGTTGGAAGACCCGAATTTGGGTGACTGGATGTGCTCTTTTCTGCCTCTTAAGTAAAATTCCTCTCAACTCCGAAGGAAATACTCCCTATTCTGCCTTTCATACCACTCCCAGGTCTTCCTTCCTGGACCTAAAGAAACAAGCCATCTGGCTAATCTGTCCTCGTACATAAAAACCTGACCTCTCTCCACAATGAATGACTTTCTGTATGAAACTGGGAGTCGGCCTAACTAAAGTGAAAAGGAAGATGGGTAGGAAAATGTTGCAGAAGGCTCCTGTAAGGGGGTGGATTTGACCTTGGCAATGCCAAGGGGAGGGCTGGGATCCCAGCAGGAATATTTGCCCTGTAGCTCCCTGAGCAGATTTTAGCTTTTTAATGTCAGTCTCTAAACTGGCCGCCTGTCATGAGGTTAAGTAGCAGATAGCCCTGAGGCTTCTTCCTGGGCTGGAGACCATGCTTCTCTCTTTCAATGACTGCCTCTGGCACCTTCCTACTTTCTAGACCTGTTTTGAGGGATTACAGGAAGAGCAGCAACTGAAAAGCCCAAGTTCCTATCCTTCCAAAAGGTTCCAGCCTTCACGTTTCAATAGAAAGGCTCCCCCTATCTCCTAGAGTCCCCCTAATTGTCACACATCCCCATTTCTTCTCCTTCCCCTTTTCATACTGGGAGCTGCCAGATGAGCATTCGTGGCTGTCTGGATGAAGAATGAAGCACTGCAGGCTGCAGGGAACTTACCAGTCAGAATGCCCGCCCTCTGTCTCCCTCTCCTCGCCCCAGAGGAGGCATCTGCCTGCCTGCACACTCCTCCCCTCCCCGGCACCTGGGTACAGACTCCAGTGACTCCAGTGAGGACACTGCCTCAGGGTAGATGTGGCCCAGCTGGGAGAGCAGGGAGTGGAGGAACCCCATGGAAAGATGCCCCAAAAGAGAAGCCCTGTGCATGAGCCTCACTCCCCTTTTCTCTCCCCTCCCCTCCCTCCTTCCACTCCCCTGCCTTACCCATGCACACAGCTTGGCCTCCGGCATCCTATGTGCCGCCTGCTGCATGATTTACAGCTTCTCGGCTCACAGAGGCATCTCGGAGGCATCTTGCAGTGCAGGGAGCAGTCCAGAGCCTCCTGCAAAGAGCCTGTGGGAGACACAGCCTTCATGTTCTTTCTCAGTCTTCCTCCTGTTCTTTGGCCCATGGAGCAATCACCAAAGGATAGACTACACAGGGCCTCTCATTTTAAAACCAGGTGTATAGAGATCTGTGTTGCCCATTCAGGTTTTGCCTTTACATTCAA